TGCATCATATGCCACATTAATTTTGCGTTTAACTAACGATCGACACTGAGAAAACGCTTCGTAATCACACCGCAATCCTGTTACTTTATAAATTTTGTGATACCTCGATTTTGCCTTGATGTGATGTATCAGATCAGCCGTGTACCATTCTGGATAAGTATATCTATTAGTTGATCTACGGTTTACACATTTGTTTTTTATAGGGGTATATTCACTAATAGTCTCATTAACTATCCGATAAAAGTAGGTCAAGGCGTCCTCTGAAGTTTTAATACTGTACAAAACATCCCATTTTAATATACTAATGCTTTCATATAACCTAGGGAAATTACATTTCGTGAATTGCCACGAAATACGACCTTTGCTGTTATTATCACTACTTATACTACCTTTTTCCGCAACCTGCTGTCTATTCCAATTCGATCTTAAATTCAGTTTAATATCTAAAGGAGGGTGTTGGACGTCAATGCCCACGAGTGGCTCATTCGACGTTCTAACCTCTATATCACACGCCATTAATGTAGTCAATACCAAATCTAAGGTACGGTTGTTAATATTAAGTATATTATTTACCTGTCGAAATCCACAAAACTCCAAAAAATATGCCAAATAACATTGCACTTCTACCGTTGCTGACGGTATATTAAAATCACCCACTACGATAACAGATTCGTACTTGGTACATACATTTTCTAGTATTTGAAATAGTTTCACGTATTCATTGTAGTTAGAACCAGGTGGAATATACACTACGCAACATAAGAATAAGAAATTATTTTTACAACTGACCGTCGCACAAACTATTTCAAATAAGGCCGAGTCCACATTATCAATTCTCACTAAATTAATATCGTACCGACAACACACCGCTAAGAAAACACCTCCTTGCTTCCTGCCGTCCGTTCGATCACACCTAATTATGTGATAACCAAGAGGAATAAGTTCGCCATCTTTTATAGAACTGTTTAGCCCAGATTCCGTAATTGCAAATCCGTCGTAACTTGAGGCCAATAAGTTGGTGAAAAATGTTTCTGTCTTTGTTCGCAATCCTCGGACATTTTGATAATATAAACGAACCGATTTAGTGGCTTTCCTCATTTCTCTTGTTGGGTCTCTGGGAGTTTCGAAACCACACCCATTCGTTAAATTTCGCATTAACCGGCCAATTATCCGCGTTATTTATTTTATCGAATACAGATTCTGGTACTCCCGCCATAAACGATGCGTAATCCCTCTTAGTCCTAGGGATAATCTTTTCCACCTTGATATCATCAGAGATACAAATAGTTTTGACATGCTCCTTAATTGCCTCCACGGAGGTATCCGGATGCAGAGACCAGACGTGCATGTACTTCTTTTGTTCTACCGCTTGAAATGAAGAAATCTGAGGATTTTCACCCTTTAAAATTATCTTAGAAGCTAATTTATTCTTCTTCCTGTTTACAACCTTCCAATCATCATCAGTATCAACTTGCTTCTTCTCCACCAACAGTAGTTGAGATGATAATTTCTTTTCAACAGTGTTATTACTCAGTGAGGATGCGTCCTTAAGTTTAGTTCGTTCCGCTGCTGCCATTCGGCGCGTACGGACCGTCCTTTGGGGATTGTTAAGTGAAATCCCTGGGTCGCTCGCTGATGTTGTCTCCCTCCCACTTTGGTCAGCTTGTATCTCGATCGGTACTTCCATCTCGCTTCCACCCTTTGATGTCACCAGTTAATCAATTTTTGAAACTAATTCTCCAACTACCTTCACCAGGTTATTTATGATGGTAGAATTCTTGTCAATAGTCAGCTGTTGATCTTCAATCTTCTTATTTTGTGCCTCAATCAGAGTCGATTGGTTCGAAATCTTCAATGTCAGCGCTGCTACTTTCTTCGACAATTCGCCAAAAGCCGTTTCAGGGTTAGATTTCGACATTTTACAAATTAAATTAATTTAGAACACAGAGACAATGTTGATTTGACAGTTGACACTATGAAGTTGTTCGAGCTAGACGTCTTAACGTTAAGAATAGAAAAGATGGAGTATCCGTTTGGGTCCCATCGAACTCTGTGGTCCTTACGTTTCTAGGACAGAGTCTGCCAGAAATTTTTTTTTGTTTTAATGCATCTCTGCCAGTGTCGCTTTAAGGTCTCGGTGTTAGACGATAAATAAAAGTGGACTGTATTTTGCGCTGGTTTTTAATGATCACAAGAGGTACGTTGAAGGAGCAGTGATCCCGTTCGAGTATATAAAGCGAGTGCCGTACATAATAGCCATCTTGGTGTGTAACAGTTATTTTTTGGTATATTTGTAATGCGTACGGTCTTGTTAAAAGCGACATCTATTGGCCGCGTCGTATTGTTGTTGATTTATCTAAAGTAGTTTATAACTACAATATTGATCTTCTTCGTTCACTGTCGGACCACTAGATGGCGTTTTTGTTTGTGGATAAGTCAGTATTGATTTGTCGTGACAAATTGTATAGGTATTGAGAGTGTTCTGTTATGGTAGGAAGGAGTTACTTTTGATCTTGGTCGGGTTAATCCTCGTCGGTAATTTAAATGTCAAAGTAAAATGTTGAGTAGGGGTTAATTTCTGGAAGCTTCGGGATCCGAAGATATATAAGTCCGGCTTTCAGCCACGGAGGACACTCTGCTATCTCGTGTCTTCCAATCTTAAATAGTGTTCTGATTGTTGTGTGATTTGATTTTCGTAATATATTATCTGTTCAAAAGTACCCACTAGAGTGGTGAGTATGGTCTTAATTTTCTTTTGTACCTATTTGTTTCTGGAACCTGATTAATTATATGAGTGCTAATCCATTCGTAGGGTCCCAGATTTCGGGGTCAAGACGGTCAGTCTCAGACGGCGTGCTTGCTCGTTTGTGGCCTTCTGGTTCAGACTCAAGTTTCTCGGTACCCTCTGGCAAGCTGGTGATTGCGCGGCTCACGACGCAAGCGGACAGCCGTACCCAAGGGTTACGTACTTACTTATAAACTTATAAATGCAAATTGTTGAACTTTTATCAATATCTAATATAAATAGCCGACTCGGGCGGAAGAGGAAGTAACCTCCTGGAGTGAAGACGAGGAGGCACCGAGCACCATCAGCTCGGCTCTGACGCGCTCCGCTGCGGTTTTTCTTATACCCTCTGTTTTTTTTATTGTAACCTTAATTTTGTTTTTTTTTTTAATATACATGTATGTATGACTAAGGTGTAAGTTGTTTTTCTCTAAGGGGTCCCATAGGTATCCCACACGCACACACATCTGTTCTCTTAAAAAGGCGCCCTGAGGTTATCTCATAAATCTCTCCACTGGGTCAGCCGGTGAGTAGTCCGCCTGAGAGGAAAAGCGGTTACAGGTGGGAGCCGTTGCGTCCGCGCCCCCGCTTCTCGCTGCCTCCCCGTCACCCGCGCCGCACGCCGTTTGCGCGGTTCAGCCGCTTGTAAGCACCGGCAAACCGTGATGTCGAGGATCGAGGTTTGATTCTCGACATATTCCCCCCAGGAGTCTTGAGCTGGAAGAGGGCAAATATTATTAAAGGCTCTTCGTATGATGCCTCTCTTCGTCTTAATCTCGGCGACACGACTGATCCCATCGATACCAGTGTAACAAAAAAAACTTCAGTCGTCGGTAGAGCGTATTTGACTTAGGTGGAGTGCCTCGACTAGCTTGTGGGTTCTGGAGGCTCTCAACAGGCTGCTTAAGATACAAAAGGGCGCCACGTGCCTAATCTTTTAAGACCATGGCACGCTGGTCTAGAATGAGTGAACAATGAAAACTCTTTTAAATTGTTTTGAGGTTGGTATAATTCTCAAAGTTAGTTGTTGTAAGGGTTCTTAAGCTTAAATCTACTTTGTATACCATAGTGTACTAGATTGCTAACATTCAACCAAATGTATGTAAAAGAACAAAAAAAAACAAGTGAGAATGGTCATAAAACTCATAACAATCTTACTGTACTAATGCAACAGCTGCTTTCACATACTTAAATTTATAAAGACAAGGAGGTGATCTGAAGTGCTGACATCTGCCTCAAACGCTGAGTATTATGCTGTCATTAAATTGACCATACCTATGTTATAACACTGCACCATTTTTATAGAACATAGACAGTCAAACTTGTTTATAAAAAAATTGAATCTAATTTGATTTTGTGTAAAAAGAAAGCACGGAAAGGCTTCACCTGTGAAATTACTTCATGAGTGTAATTACGAAGTTGACCTGGAAAGCATGCGGGAAGCGTGCCCCTTCCTCATCAGCGCTCCTCAAAGGTGTTCCTATGTGAGCCTATTGGCACACCATCTTCCACTAGTTTCTGATGCAAAATTCTAGTCCCTCAAAATATTGGGCCCTGCATAACGACCGGAGTCATTCTAAAAGCAAACACAAAAAACAATATTACCATTCAATTGTTGAAACCGAACCGCCCTCGCGTTCAACCTCAGATTGAGTATTAAAGTTCAATTACATACCCGGTTTATACAAGAAAACGAACAAAAGTGTCTTCCGACACAACATACAAAACACCCATCCACTCCTAGAGGCCCAACGGCAGATCTGAAAAGAATTAACAAAAATTATGATTCGTCACAAATACTATGTACGCCATTTTGTCAAACCCGTTTTCCACAGGGTACGAGTTCAACTACAACTGTAAATACTCACCAGGATGTCTCCATTCAACAAACAATGGTGTAAAGAACCATTTCAGCAACAATTGTGTAAAGTAAACTTCAAAAGGTAAAAAAAATAAAGACAAAAAAATATAAGAGGCAAGCGACCTGCTTCCAGCCGCCCTTTTCAGTCTTGCCCAGTCCTCTGTGGTGTTGCCATCCAGTCGCAAGGTCTCACTATTATCAATTTCTAATCTGTTTCTACCAAGAAAGTATGATGAAGCGGTTAATCAAAAATTAACACGCTACAATACCCCATTGCTTACAAAAAAACAAAAAAAAAAAAAAAAAAAACATTACCAAAGATTACTATTAAATTAAAAAAATCAACTACCTAATCTAATTATCTGGTTCTGACTTCACAATGTCCTTGATATGCCACCTACCTAAGGACTTCCCAGAATGAAAGTCTTGCAGCTCATAAGAGACAGGTGATATTTTCCTCTGGACAACACACTTTTTAAATTTGGGAGCCAACTTCTTAGCAAAGAATTTGTCTGCATCAGACAAAGGATACTCCCTCTTCCAAACAACTTGACCAACTTCATACTCAACCTGAGTTCTGTTTTTATTATAGTAAGTTCTGCTTCTATGGTAAGACTTCTTAATGGCAGCATTAACCTTTTCAAACAAAGGCTTCAAATGCAATAACATTGAGGCATACAGATCTCTATCCACAAACTGCAACTCTTCCAAACTCAATTCCCTATCAGGATACCAATCCCCGGACAGAACAGCTTCACGACCAAACGTCAACAGAAATGGGCTATAGCCGGTGACCTCATGAACAGCAGTGTTCATGGCAAACTCAATCTTGTGAATGTTATCTGACCAATGTCTTTGGTCTGTGCCAACTAAAGAAGCCAAAGCAGTGACCACAACTCTGTTCACTCTCTCAGCAGGATTATTCTGGGGCAAAAATCTGCAATTATAGAATAGATTAGGAATTTTATATTTCGCCTTCAGCATCTTCATGTGATTGGAGATATACTGTGGTCCATTATCCATGATGATGCACTGTGGAATACCATGTCTCATAAGAAACTGATTCTCTATAATACTGACCACCGACTTTGCTAATGAACTTCTCATGGGAAACAATTGAGTGTACTTAGTAAAGTAATCTGAAACAACCAAAATAAACTTATAGCCTGAATAACTACGTGGCAACGGTCCTATAATGTCCGTTGACAGGACCTGGAATGGTCTTTGAACTTTCTTCGGATTTTCCATTAGACCTGGTGGAGGAACATTCACACTTTTGTGTGCCAAACAAACTTGACAACGTTTGACATACCTCTTCACATCATTAATCATCTTGGGCCAAAAATAAGACTGAGACAGTCGTTTGAAGGTCTTAAATACTCCTAAGTGTGCTGCCTCAGGCCTATCATGACACTGTTTCAACACCTCATTTCTGAGACTCTCAGGAACTACTAATTTCCACTCACAATCGACTGCCAAAGGATTGGAGTTCCTAACCCTCTTATACAATCTCTCCTCTATAACACGCCAGTCTGGGAATTTGCCAGGTGCAGCTGAAACTTTCTTGAACATGCCAGAATACCAAGAATCACCTTCCAAAGCAAGAACTGAAGCCTGAAACTTGAACAACTCATCTGACGCCGGAGCTCTTGAAAGCGCGTCAGGTGCAGCCTGTTCTGCTGCCTTCCGATGCTCCACTATAAAATTGTACTGAGAAAGCCTAATCGCCCAGCGAGCTAGTCTTCCTGTTGGAGACTTTAGATTGACCAACCACCTCAGACTACTATGATCAGTATAAACTTTAGTTTGAAAGGGTGACCCATCAATATACCCTCTGAACTTTTCTAAAGCAAATAATAAAGCATATAACTCTTTTTCAGTGGTAGTATAGTTCCTTTCACTTCTAGTAAGAGACCTACTAGCAAAAGCAACTGGGTGTTCATCACCTTCATCATCCAACTGGGAAAGAATACAACCAAGGCCAACATCTGAGGCATCCGTGCTAATAATGAACGGCCTATCAAATTTAGGAACGCTTAAAATAGGAGCAGATATCAAAAGACTTTTAATTTCCTTGAAAGCTCTACTAGCTCCTTCATCAAACAAAAAATTACTTCCTTTAGGAGTCTTCCTAGTTAACTTAGTAAGAGGTGCCACACGCGTTGAAAAATTACTAATAAAGCGGCGGTACCAAGACACCATACCCAAAAACCGTCTCACTTCCTTCTGAGTAGTTGGAGTGGGAAACTCGACAATGGAGCGAACCTTATCACTATCAGTGCGCAAGCCACGTCTATCCACCACATAACCTAAGAATTTCAAAGCCGCCCGACAAAAAACAGACTTTTCAAAATTTATGGTGAGACCAGCATTCTTGAGTCTCTCGACGACCTCATGCAGAAGCTTGATGTGATTACTGAACGAGTCGGAGATCAGAATCACGTCGTCGACATAATAGAAAACACTACCAGAAAACTCGGGACCAAACACCTTATCCATCAACCTCATCATTCTGGCAGTTGCATTGACCAATCCGAAAGGCATGCGGCGAAATTGCCATGATCCAAGACCAGAAACGGAGAAACAAGTCTTCTCACGAGAGGACTGTTCTAATCCAATTTGAAAAAATGCAGACCTAAGATCAAGAGAGCTTATAAACTTCGCATTATTAAGCGAGTCTAGGATCTCCTCCACTCTAGGCATCGGGTAAGAATCTATCTTGGTGACACTGTTTAACTTGCGGCTATCCAAACACAGTCTAAGCTCACCATTTGCCTTGGGTACGAGAAGAATAGGACTATTCCATGGAGAGTTTGACTTCTCTACTATGCCCAACCTCTCCATATTCTCTATCTCTCTCCTGACATAATCCCGGTGATGAAAAGGGATAGGATAGAACTTCTGTTTAATGGGGGGACTATCTCCCGTATCTATCACATGTTCTTCAAGAGTGGTGAACCCCAACTTGCTATCTGTGGCAGCTAGCTCCCTGAACCTATCCACAACCAACTCCAACTCCACTCTCTGATCCTCCGTTAGGTCTCCTACCTCATGCAAGTGTATCTCATTATCTTTGATGAGGTTCATAGACTCATGACACAGCATGTTTCCAACATCTGCAAAGATATCCTGACAAAGATCAAACTTCCTCAAAAAATCTACACCTAAAATAATGGGTGCATTAATGTCCTCACAGACATAGAAGTCTATCATTTCAACCTTGCCTGCATATGCAATGGGCAAACAAACAATCCCCAAAAGACACAACTTATTATTGTTTCCCACTGCAACAGAATTGTCACTCTTTAGCAGGTCAAAATCCAAATCATGCTGTTTCAGCGTGCTAAAAGCTCTCGCACTAATCACTGAAACAGAAGCACCACTATCAGCCAAAGCATTACACCGCAAACCTAAAATGCTGACTACAATGTATGGCCTAGGATCCTGAGAGCCTTGAGCAAACAGAGGTGACAGCTCATGCTTCTCAAAAAAAAACTTCACAAAGTCTAACCAAGATCTCCATTCGAGGTCAGAGGTTGGAGAACCACCTGCAAAACTGACTACTTCTGACCTCCTATGTCGTTTTTTGAACAATCACACCCTGAGGTGAGTACACCAGGCTTCTTACACCTGAAACAATGTATGCCAACATACTTTTGACATTTATGATATGGGTGATCCCCCTCACACTTAAAACACTTAATGATGTTCACTACCCTTTCTGACTTACCTGCAGAGGCAGAAGGCCTATTATTAACTTTGCAAACGTCCGGTATGATGGAGGTGTCCCCTGGGTTGAGAAAACCCCTAAACTCACATTTATTCTTGGCAAGCTCCAATCTTGCACACACATCTTTCAATTCCCTAATTGAGGAAACCTCAGACAAAGCCAGTCTGGATATAAAGAAAGGACTCATATTGGTCATAATAATGTCCAACTGTTCAGACTCAGAGACCCCACTAGAAAGTCTAGAAAATAAATTTTGCATCACATTGATATAAGTGTTTATGCTCTCAGTCTTGCCTTGGAGTCTTGACTTAATCTGATTCAATAAAGAGCGTTCAAAGTTAACAGGTAGAAACTCTTGTTTCAATAATTCAACCAAGCCCGCATATGATGAAACTTCAGAACAAATATTCCTATACCACAACAATGCTTCACCGTCCAACAAATGAACAATACTTCTTAAAAGCTCACTGTCCGAGATACCAGTTGAATTTCTATAATCTTCCAAACTAAAAAGAAAGTCATGCAGCGGTGTTTTACCATTAAAAGATATTTTCCATTTAAAAACTTGCGAGCTACCCCTACTAGAGCTATCTCTTACCAGTGCAGTATCAGAAATCTGAGCAGTGCTAGATGTCCTATCTGATGCAGAATTGCATGAAATAGTTTGCAGTGCATTCTGAGTCTTCATTACCAACTCCAACTTCCTAGTATACAATTCCGGGGAAAATGTCAACAATTTATCCAAACGCCAAGCTACATGATGTAACCTCGACAAACACTTACGCTTGCATGACGCTGATGAATGGACAGCAGACAAAACTGAATTTAATTTATCCTCACACATTGATAATTCTAACTGTAAGTCCAAATCAACAAGAAATCCCAATGCTGAACTCTGATTGTAAATTGATTTATTTAATCTGAGTGCTTTCCGGAGCTCATCAACTGTACTGTCATCTTTTATTTCCAGACCTCTGCTTTTGAGTTCAAATGTTAGCTCATCTTTAGTAAGGTAGTCGACATCCAAGGCAGACATTTTTGAAAATTAATTACAAGTTCAAGATATACCAATTTAAAACTGTTATCCAAACAGCACCAATCCAATATAACTATGTGAAAGCATATTTGTATATATATTCAAAATACAAAGTTCTTATCAAATAAATATAGCTCTTATACCTATATAAAAGTATTCCTAATATGATATTCTGGGTTGTTATCAAACAGGACTACTACTCTAAACTGAAACAATTATTGTTATGAAATAATATAGATGTGAGACCATATCACACCAAAAGAAAGGCATTTATCTAAGTTTTCACAAAACAAGCTTACAATTATACAGTACAGTTTACAATTATACAGTATACTATTATATAAAAGTATTCCTAATATGATATTATGGGTTGTTATCAAACAGGACTACTACTCTAAACTGAAACAATTATTGTTATGAAATAATATAGATGTGAGACCATATCACACCAAAAGAAAAGCATTTATCTAAGTTTTCACAAAACAAGCTTACAATTATACAGTACAGTTTACAATTATACAGTATACTATTATATGTTCACTGATACATATTATGTGAATTTCTAAAATTGTTCATTGACACAAAACAAAGAAGCATTTGGAACTTAAAAAAAAACAGTCTGTATATTGAGCCCCACCCGTTGGGATGCCAATTGTAACAAAAAAAAACTTCAGTCGTCGGTAGAGCGTATTTGACTTAGGTGGAGTGCCTCGACTAGCTTGTGGGTTCTGGAGGCTCTCAACAGGCTGCTTAAGATACAAAAGGGCGCCACGTGCCTAATCTTTTAAGACCATGGCACGCTGGTCTAGAATGAGTGAACAATGAAAACTCTTTTAAATTGTTTTGAGGTTGGTATAATTCTCAAAGTTAGTTGTTGTAAGGGTTCTTGAGCTTAAATCTACTTTGTATACCATAGTGTACTAGATTGCTAACATTCAACCAAATGTATGTAAAAGAACAAAAAAAATCAAGTGAGAATGGTCATAAAACTCATAACAATCTTACTGTACTAATGCAACAGCTGCTTTCACATACTTAAATTTATAAAGACAAGGAGGTGATCTGAAGTGCTGACATCTGCCTCAAACGGGTGAAATCCTTAATGAGGACTAAGTCGTTGGGTTTAAGCTCGTTGCGTGAAGACGTAAGCCACTTCGTCCGCTGTTGAAGAGTGGAAATGTATTCCTTTCTGAAACGGACCCAAAAATGTTGTCGGATGTACTCAATCCTTTTGTAGCGGTCAATGATGGTAACATCTTTCTCCAAAACTTGTGGATGTGGATAAGTAGTGAGTGGTCGTCCTAATAAGAAGTGAGCGGGAGTATGAGCAGTAAAGTCGAGGGGGTCTGTGGAAAGATGAGTGAGGGGACGAGAATTTAAAATAGCCTCGATTTGAGCCAAACAGGTAGCCATCTGCTCGTAGGTAAAATGAACAGCTTGTAATTGACGCCTAAGATGATACTTTGTTGAGCGGACAGCTGCCTCAGCCATTCCATTAAAATGTGGGCTATAAGGAGGAGTGAATTTAAAATCAATGCCTTCCTGGGCCATGTCATGTTGAATATTAGATTCAAGAAGAAACCTTTGTAGATCATTGGATGCGCCAACAAAGTTCGTTCCGTTATCAGAGGAGACACTTTGTGGCTTCCCCCTCCGAGCGATGAAACGGTTCAAAGCGGCTATAAATGCTTCCTTCGTAAGTTCTGTAACAAGCTCCAAATGTATAGCTTTAACAGAAAAGCATACAAAAATACACAAATAGGACTTCAAGAGCCTGCAGCCTCTACCCTTGCGGTCAGCTATCAGCACCGGTCCAGCATAGTCTACGCCACAATGCAGGAAAGGAAACTCTAAATTTGTTCTGTTAAGAGGAAGTTGGTCCATTAAGGGTTGCACTGTTTGAGCCTTAACCCTAAAACATTTCAAACAGTTATGGACTGTCACTTTAGACAAATTTCTGCCGTTCAGCGGCCAATATATTTGACGAATATTTGATAATAGAGATTGTGGGCCTGAATGTAATAATTTAATATGGTAAGTTTGAAATATCAATTTTGTAAATTGATGTTTGCTACAAATCAAAATTGGATGTTTAACGTTATAACAGTAAGGTGAATTATCTAATCTACCACCTACACGAATGATCTGGTTTTCATCTACGAATGGTGACAAAGACAGTAATCGATTTTTTCTAGGAAGAGTCTTTCATGCTCTTAGGATAAGAGACTCAATAGGAAACATCTCAGACTGAGCATATAGAACAATAATATTCAATGATTGTTGTAATTCTATATTGTTAAGACTATTGGTAAGCTTTTTTGATTCTTTTTTATTTTTTAAATTAAATATAAATCTTAGTATGTAAGCCACTACTCTTTGTAATTTATGAAAATTGGAATATTTATTAATGAGATAAGATATAATGTTACAGTTTTCATTATTTTTATTTGATATTTTATTTGTAGATAGACATATTTTTTCTTCGCGTACTAATTTATTCGATTTATTTGTGTTTGGCATTTGGGGCCATTGAGACGGGTCTAACAAAAGAAATTCAGGACCTCGCCACCACAACAATGAATGTTTTAATTGATCTGCTGGTAAGCCTCGCGATACAAGGTCAGCAGGATTTAATTTAGATGGCACGTATCTCCAGGTGTGGCCTAAAGTTTTTTCCTAAATTTCGTTTATACGATTACAAACGAACTGTTTATATTGGTTAGGCTGCGATGATAGCCAACCTAAAACTACAGTCGAGTCGCACCAGAAATGACTTAATTTAATATTTAATGTTAGTGCGGACACAACTTTAAAATACAGCCTTGCACCTAACAGAGCACCGCATAATTCCAGTCGCGGAATAGTGATTGGTTTAATAGGGGCAACCCTATTCTTTGACGCTAGTAACTGCACATTAACGTTACCTAAACTGTCCGATGATCTAATGTATATACATGCACCGTATGCATTCTCTGAAGCGTCTGTAAAAACGTGAGCTGGTTTTCTTTGTTTTTCTAATGCCCTATAAGTTCAAATTAGCTGCACCCCGCGGTGTTACGGGCAGTTGTTGTTGTACCTTGCTCATCCCACGGGAACACTAAATTTTTTTCGTTATAAAAGTATCCTATGTGCTATTCTAGACTGTAATCTATCTCTATGCAATACAAACTTAATATAAATCCATACAAACTCGCCTTTATAATATTAGTAACATTTGTTCAAGCATTAAGAAGTTACAGTGGGATTGTATGAAATTATAATTTTCTTACTAAAGATGTCACTAGTAAGGTAATTATAATTACCATGGTACAATTGTGTTGTACAACTTTTCTTTTTCTTTTCTTTTAAAATACAACTGCCGCACTAGGAATAAATCCTGTATCACTGGGGACTTTGCAAACATACATGAAACGGACACAGAAAACACTCAGACTCAGAACAACAATTTGTGGATCACACAAAATATTGTAACATATGGGGATCAAACCTACAACACTCAGCGCAGTAGGAAGTGGCGAAGTAATCGATTAAACCAGTACACCATGCGTGCAGTCTACTATCTTACTAGACCTCATATCCCTAGAGAAATATTCATATAATTTGTCTAGGCCGATCACCAAGTATTAATTACACACAACACTGAAGACGACAAGAGGAAATGGCAACACTGACTAATGAAAAACGGCACCTACAAGTATGCATTTTTGTGTTAAAGTACAAATTCTTAAGGTGATCTGTAAAATATTAACAATGCAACTCTGCAAGCAACATTACTGGATCTCATTTATGAATCCTCAAAGAAATTTAAAGACCAGCGCCCTCATTTTGGTGACTCCGACGTGATCAAGACCGACGCGGCATTGGCTTTGAAAATTGCCAACGGTCGTCACGTAGTTCATACATTAAATGGATTCATCCATTGAGTTAAAACAACACTAGAGAAGCAAACCTCATTATCACACGTCGAAAAAAGTATAACTACTTTTGAACTTTGACGACGTAGCTTTGATACCACTAAACATATTTATTTCTCATTTACACGCGTGACAAGAACAATACCATCGCTCGGATTAGACAAAGACATAACTTTACGATGGCGGGCCAGTGTTGACTACCGTATGGAATTTTACCCATAACAACCAAGAAGCAAAAAGAGTTTTTAAAACAATTTTGTAATAAAATAAATTAATTTAAATATTTTAAATAATATATTTCTAATTGAATGGAATAGGTATAAATAATAACTGGAAATATTTTGTTACAAGGGTTTATATTAACTGTAAAATCAAACTCCGCTGTGAAGCATCGGTTTTGTATACAATTGTCTTTTAGACTCTTTTTAATAAGTTTATGTGGATAATTTAATTTCAAGATAAAAACTTATTTTTACGAATGTATAAATAATGGCATTTAATAATAAAAAAAAGTGAATGATCAACTTGTACTGATGATAAATAATCCCCGGAAAGTTCGGAAAGTTTTATGGCATGTCTTATAATTCTTTCGCAACTCATACATATTTCATATACATGTTTCGATGGATAACATAATAATCCTTTATCTTTTAAACTAATGAGCTTGTGAAACCACTCAAATTGTGTAGCTAGTAAAGCTTTAATGCATATTTCACATTTAAGGTCTTGACCAACTTTGTTAACATTATATTTAAAGTTATCATTAATTTCAACGGGTCCCTAAAAAAGTGATCGGTCCAGCCCTAACAACTACCGTTCTTACTATATTTTATTATTATTGGCAAAATGTTTAAAAACAGTATAAAGCATATTATTTCGTAAATTATAAGTTCTCCCACTAATGTGGGAAAACCAAAACGATTTTTAATGGTAACAGTGATTCCAAATTACAATTATCAATTTTTTTATTCTATTAGGTATATATCAATACAAAAACTGTAAACTTACTTATTATGGTTTTGTGACCTTGAATCGCATTCTTTCACTACGCATTTACCCATTTTGACGATTGTTATTGTCATGTGT